TTTTTCGTCAATCCAAAAAGTATTTTTATATTATAATATTCAACTTAGCAGTAAAATGAAATTACCATTCACCACATAATAAATGGCTCCATGAGCTGACACTGCTGTATATTTAATTTTTAGAACTCGATATATAATAATTATATATCGAGTAAATAAAACGATACAATTAATGCACCATTTATTTTAGAAAATAAGGTATTTATCTCACAGTAAATTTTTTTAATAAATTGTTTAATTTTCGAAAAAATAATGATTGCGGGAAATTATCACGCACGACCGCTAACTAAATGGTAGCCTAACGTAGTTATCACTGTGTACTTTCACTCCACGTTTTCAAAATTATTATTAAACCTATTATCCACTTTGCCCGAGGTGATCGCTTTACTTGTACTTCCCCTATCGTTTTTATTTGTTAATTTAGAAAATTTCTTATAATAAAATATTGCCATAATATGGTTAAATTTGATTGATATGACCCTAATAAATATAAAATTATCCGGATAGCGGTATGTATGTATTTTACAACATCTTATGGTTGTTTCTATGGAATGAAGGTCCGTACTTAAAATAACCTTAAAAGAACCGTATGAATAATTAAAATCAAATAAACACGAGTTATAAACATTATTACTTATTGTTCATTGGAGTCATTGTCACGATAAAATTGTATCGGTACCGGTTACCACAATCGGTAAAGATCAAAGTAGCAAATAATATCACTGAAACAATACAACACTTGCCATCTTAAACATTTGTGCAACTCAAGTATTTATCAGCGTAAAGTGCAAAATGATAGTACGATCGTCATTTTTCATTTTACATTTACTTTTATTAAAATGTATTTTCATTTACTTTTGTATACCATACCCTGACGCTTTTTACGATATTCTTTCCTATTTTGTTATAATATTATGTTTGAAAATTTGGTAGTCTCCGGACAATTTTATAAATAATTTTTTAATGAATCAACAAAAATTGATTCTGTTACATTTTCTAATTATCAAAACATAATATTATTTTATTTGGTCCAAAATGCCGTTTCAAACTAACCTCAACAAATATTTTCATGCGATTTTATATTTATGACTTGAAATGCTTTTTTAAGAGAGCTATTAAGCCTAAAATAGTCTCCTACTTTTCAGAGATAATAAGAAAATATTTTTATATCATTAGAGAAACATGTTCTCCTCAATCTGATTCAAATATCTATTAATCTATGTTAATTTATAGATGTACCAAAATCCGATTGTTCTTACGAACAACATTTAGGCAATGACATTTGATTGATATAATCAATTAAATGAATTGATAATATTTCAAATTAAATATAGCTCAATAATTTTCTACAATTAATTAAATTTTATTTTTTAATAAAAATGACTACTATAACTGTTTAATAGTTTTATTTTAAATTGAAAATATAATGACAAGTTATAACTTGTTTGTTTTTAATTTGTGAATCAACGTAAAATGTTGTAAAAACTAAACTATACCTTTCATTTAAATAATTTTCAAAAATACTATGCTGGCTCAATTTGCAAATTTAATGGATTTAAAAATTTCAATATTTTTTATAAATTGTCTAGATACGATGGTCACCACATTCACGATATTTTTAATAAAAATTAATCGGTTTCCTTCGACGTCGTCTGGGTCACACCCTTTTTTTTCCAATCACGAATCGATTGTGTTTGAATAATAATAAAATTTAATAATAGGAAAATAAAGAGAAGATGGACCACATTGGGTACTCGACCAAGAGGAGAACAAAAAAAAGTAAAAAAATAGTATTATATATATACGTAAAATGTAATATAATAATAAATGGTGGCCATAAGACAACCAAGGAATATGCTAACGAATGAATGACTATCTTAAAAATGATCTTGACGTGCCCTCACGATGATTTATCATTTTTTTCTCTTCTCTATGCGTAGCACTATGGGCACACCACCGCCACCACTGCACATATATACCCGCCTGCCAATTGAAATCCCAAGACCATTAGAACCGACGGTTTTCAAAAGGAAAACATTCCATTTCTAGTTACAGTAAATTTATATATACTTATAGGTACACGCCACATGCACCACCGGTATATATATATATATTTATAATAGAAATGCAGTCACTACCAATCAAAAGGATTATTATTGTGTTTTTTCGTCTCATTATTATTTTTTGTATGATATATATAATGTATTTATAGCCACTATTATTTAACAAGTTTTAGTTAAAATGAAAAAACTTTTGGACACAGTTAAATTCGATTTTTGTACGGTTTATTTAAGATTACTGGTGTACCCCGAGGGCCGTACAGTAAATAGTTGCACAGAATCACGTTAACGCCACTTTGAGAACATGCATGTTGTTGCAACACACGCAGTCTAATTAAATACCGTATCGAGTTAACATTATTATTTTGTCGGCATGTCCGAACCTAATCTGAAAAAGGTGTTAATGTAACTGAACCTCCTACTAAACTTGATTCAGTGTAAAAACTAGTGGCGACTTGGCACCTATGAGAATTTTTAATGAAGAATGTCTTATACTATGGATTGTTATTTGCGAACAAAAGCATTTCACAGTAGCTCTGGATTATAAGTCACTATTAATTTCATTTGGCTTTACTATAAATATATATAGATTATTTTTTTTGTAAAAGCAAATACTACATTTCCTTACAAAATAAACACTGTTATTAAAAATTTAGTCCCACTGAGAAAATTCAGTATAATAAGAATACTTTTCCATCTAAAAATCATTAAAAATGTATATTTATTGTTACGTATGTATTAATATATATAATTGTATCATTTACGATTCTATTTTGATTTTTTTCAAAATTACTTACATTAAGAAAAGGTGTTTTTCCACATCAACTAAGAATTATTTTCAACTTAGATACTTTTATAAAATGTGATGGGAAAATATTATAGATTTTTTGTGTATTTTTAAAATTGCATTGTCTAGTAATAATACTGACAAATAATCCTAAAATACAATCGATATACATTTGTATATTTCATTTTTAGAGATTTCAAGTCGTTGTGACATTTATATAGAACTTATTTTTAAATTAATGGAAAATATAAAAATAACCGAGAATACCAAAATTAATATTATGTTGCAGAGCAAATTAATTTTAAGTAAATACACTGTCAAGTTTTTTTTTTTAACTAAGTGAACTAAATTTTATGTAGGAAAAACAGTGGAACCGTAGTTATATAAATTTATGCTGTTTAAAAACACATGTAATCATGCAAAATGACACGAATGAGCTAAACAATCTTGAAATTAGCCAAAATAAACACAAGACTACATTGTTACAGGCAATTTCAAAACGATATCTCCAACAAAAAACAAACAAAATAAGATTTATTAATATCATGTGTATATCAATATGTTATGTTTAGAATAGAAAATCTTTGTGTTGAAGTAATGTTCTTAATTTCAATAATATCGATTTTAAAATAGTCTTAAAAAATAATAAATCACATATCGACAAATTTTCAAAAATTTAATTGAACATAAAATTATGAATTATAAATTGTTTATAAATTATTTTTATTAATATTTGTTTGATAAAGACTTTAATATAATGAGATTGGCTATGAGTTTAAAATAAGCTAAAAATACTTCGTTTGTTGCGTAGTCTTTAAATAAATAAATAACGTGTGTTTCATTTTTATATTAATTTAAACTTATGTTATATGATAAGTTTTAAGTGATTAATTATGAACGTATTAGCCGTCAATCCATTTCTCATACGTGTGCTGCTGTTTCTTTGCCGCTTAGTCGCATATACACTAACATTATTATATTACCACAATAATGATAGCCGTGATGATTTTTAATATCTGTAGAAGCAAAAACTTCTAACATGCGCGCTTTGAACCTAACATAATATAACAGACGGAAATCAAAAAGGTTGATTGGGATCGAGAGATGTGAGCTGACAGAAATTTTAACGAGAACCGTAGTGATTAATGACGCTTAGAATAAAAAAATATAATACACAAACGATATTTCGGAGAGACTATTTGTTGATTCATATGTATACATAGAACTGACGCTCATGACACATGTTTCAAATCCAAATATGTTAAAGTAAACGTCGGTAAATTAACGAAAAAATTACTAGTTTAATTAACTCTCATAAACGTAAAGGATATTTCAAAAGAAATACTGTCGAATACGGGGTCAATTAGATAAAGTAATATGTGGGTGTGATAATTATTTTTTTAAAGATTTACATTTAAAATCCTCTATTATAAGCTACTACTTGTGATATAGATAACGAGAAAACCATGGTCATTTTTATCTGAACCACAACTGTGTACCGAACAAGATACTTTATCTATTAATATAGATTTCCTTGTTGTATTTTTTATGGTAGAAAGCTAAAATGTATTCTTCATTTCGAACAAAAAATATTACCTAATATATGTACAACAAAAATTGCTTATACCTAGCTTAACGTAGATTAAAAAGATATATTATTATATTAAGTCATTAGCTTAAACAGTAACTTAACTGAGTTTACTATTAAAATGTAATAACTTATAAATTATAGCTAAATTTTATTTTTTCAAATCTAACTTAACACCCAAGTTATAAAAATAATTAACTTTTCCAGTCTGAAATCCAAATAAAAGGACACTAATATTTTGATTACTTGCGGAATTAAATTAAAAAAATTATAAACATTTGTCTACGGACTTTGACCATTTGACACATCAAAATCTAAAATTTTTTTTTAATGGTCTGATAATTTCTAAAAAAAATGTGACTTGGCATAGTTTACCTCTGGTTTGCAAATATATTCATTGCAAATAACAAAATATTAAAGTTAATTAAATATTAATATTCATTATATTATAATTATGATATAATATTAGTAAGTAACGGTAATCGTTCTGTCTTATTTCATGGTATTCAAGGATTATTTTTATTGTGACATATTCTTATAAAATAATAAATATATTACTCATTAATATATGGTAAAATCGTATAAAAGCTGTATAATCATTTAAAAATTAAACTTAATTACATTTAAATCAATGATTAAATTTAATATCTTGGAACATTTTAATACTAAATACTATACAACCTCGACTGTTTTAATTGTTATAATAAAATCAAAATAAAAGTTAGGTGTAATTGCTTATAAATAAAATTAATGGTTATATAAAAAATGTTCATAAATTTTTAATTTAGTTAATGGAAAATAATTATATTTATTTGTTGGTAAAAAATAAATAAAAAATTTTATACAAACATCTTTAGTGATATTACTAATGCTATGGATAGTAAAAGAGTAAGACTAGTTGAAGTATTAGTTAAACGATTTTCACCATTTGGCGTAGGTGTAGTTATTGGAGAAATAGTTGATGAATCATTAGTGGAACCTGGTTTCACAAATTCGTTGATAACAGTTGAAAAAGAATTATACCAATCTAAGTTCATTTGAATTTCTATGAACAAATAATTGTAACTATTTCTTAGTGATATTGAATTACTTTCTTTTTGTCTGATTTTATTAATCTGAAAAAACGATGATTTTATAATAATTAATTAATTTGTTCTGTAACAAAAACATTTTTTTGGACACGTCATTTTTCAATTGGAACACTCACATATGTGTATCAATAAGTTTCCAACAAAATTTATGTAATTTGAATTTATTAAAATTACATTACTTAACGTTGACATCTTCAATAAAAACTTCAAGCCAAATTATGTTAGGCATATTATATTACTATATCTATATTACTATTACATGCAGAATTATGGATTTCTAATTTAAATTTTGGATAAAATATTTTTTCATTCTATATATTAGTACATTAAATTTTTAATGAATCAACAAAAATTGATTCTGTACATTTTCTATCTATCAATACATAATATTATTTAATTTGATCCAAAATGCCGTTTCAAACTAACCTCAACAAATATTTGCTCGCATATTTTCAGGTAATTTTACATTTATGACTTGAAATGCTTTTCTAAGAGAGCTATTAAGCCTAAAGTAGTCTCCTACTTTTCAAAGATAATAAGAAAATATTTTTATATCATTAGAGAAACATGTTCACCTGAATCTGATTCAAATATCTATTAATTTATGTTCATTTATACATGTATCAAAATGTACTATATATTAGTACATTAAATTTTTAGGTACTATAAAAAAAGTTGAATGTATTTGTTTTACAATACCATACTACATGATATAAATTTACCATTAATCAACGCTTAATTTAATTAAAAAATTGTCATAAAAAATTTACCATTTTTTATAATATGTTAATAGAAATAATGTACCTTATTTATTTCAGTATCCAAAGACACTTTTGATACTAATATTGAGTATAAGTCTGTTGCTACACTTTCACCGTTGGGTAATTCATTACATATTTTTTCAGAGTTTTCGTCAAGAAAATTTAATAGAACGTCAATTCCTAACGTCGTTGATGCTACTGCTTTAAAAACAGTTTTGAAATCTTGTTGGCGAATTTTTCCATTGTTTTCGGGTAAAATCATTTCTACATAACTAAAACGTTTTTGAAGGAAATATTTTATTTATTTATTACATAATATAGACTAATCAGGACCACATTTATTAGCTGAAAAGCTATTGATTTTACTGAGCCTGGTTTTTTTTTGTATCTGAATTTGCCGTTACACTGCTTTTATTAGATCTATTTGGCTCAACGATACATCAAAAGATCACAACCAATATTTAGTTGAAATTATCAATGCCATAATTTTGAAAAATTTAACTCTATTCCGGTAACAAAGACAAAAGTTCCAAAAAATTACCGATGTCATTAAAAAACTTATGTTGATATTTTTAGTTTTCAATTTATATTTGATAACTTAAAATATAAATGGTTTATTACTAAAGTATTATTGATAATACTTTAGACATTAACTATTTACTATTAATAATTTAGTTTTGTAATTTGTACGGATATATTATTAAAGAACCCAGTACAAAGGGGTCGAGGCAGAGTGGTGACGTGGCATAGTTAGGTCAAGTATAATAATATCTGTCAGTGATTAAAATCACTATCATAAAAAACGCTTCAATGCAAATTTGTACATAGTGTATAATTTTAAAAAATTGATGAATTATTCCAAATGCTACACGATTTCCTATTTCCTTATTTATATCCTGGTTACAAGTTCTATGATTTATAAGTGTAATATATATAAATATATACCATACAGGACTAACCACCCGTCTCGGAGAATAAATGGCTAAGAAAACCTCCTCCTAGGGGGAGGTCGCTATGGTTCTTAATGGACTAATAAAAGCAATAATATATATATATATATATATATATATATATAAAGGGAAATGGTTTTTTATTTAAAAAAAAAGTATGTGAAGACAAAATAAAATCCGAATTTTTTTTTCCATGAGAAAGCATATTACATTAGCTTTAATTTAAGATATATATGAAAGTGTCACAGTTTCCGGAACACTTTCGAAAGTTAAGCTGAAAAAGTTAATTTTTGTAAAAAAGTTGTCATTTTGATTCCCCCCTGTAGGCAAGTAAAGGGTCAGATTTATAAAAAAGATAGGTAAAAACATCATGTATTTATAAAAAAAATTATATTGATTTGATTATTTTCGATAAAGTTATGGCAGTTTTAAGTAAAAACAAATAAAAAAATTTCAAAAATTTGCGATTTTTAAATTTATCATTTTTTTGGAGATTTCCCCCGTTTACGGGGAACGAGGGAAATTTTTTTCAATTTTTGAGAGTAATGTCTTCCACTAGATATAATTTGTGATCCTTTGACGTATTGTTGAAAGAAATCGGTTCGGTGAGAGCTGAGAAACTTTTTGTCTGTTACCACTTTGGTATTTATCCACATATCTTTTAAAAAGTTATTTAATATTTAAATAACTAATATTGTTATTAATAATATTAGTTATTACTAATAATATTAGTAGATTTATAAATAAAATTACCAATATTTTCAATTTTTAATGATAATGTCTTTAATAAGATACGGTTGGTGATTTTTTGACGTATCGTAGAGAATAATTACTCTAGTTTGAGCTGAGAAAAAAAAGTGACAGACGCAAAAAAAAATATTAAAAAAATTAACACCATGGTAAAATTAATACTTTTTTGGCTTCATATTGAAGCTAAAAAACAAAAAGAAATTATACAACACTATTTTCATAGGAATTATCTTCATTTTTTACTTCTTAATATTTTAAGACTATTATTTTAAGAATTCTTAACCAAATCTTAACCATGGACCTTAGATAAATAAAATAAATTATTATATACTTTTTTAATTGTGCTTTATCATTTGTACATGCCAATGCGTTAAGTGCAGAATATTTCTCTGGTAAAGATTTAGTGTTCAAGTACAAATTATAAACTAAATACCAATTGTCTGTGGTGTAGCTTGTTTTGACGCCTACACAAAGTGCTGCGTCTTTTATATCTTCAGGTATTCTATTAAGATTATACACAAAAAGTTATTTATCTTGAACAATATTAATTTTGTATTGTATTTAAGTATACTCAATATTATTTTTCCAATTTTGAAATAATTTTTTTGAAGTTACTATGCACTCCGATTCTTCCAATTGACATGCCCATTGAGAAAATGAATTCCAACTTACTTCTATAGCGTAATCTTTATATGTGTCTACCATTTCCTTTAATTTTTTGAAAATGATCCCTGCTAAATATTTAACATGATTCTAAAATTATAAATTATAGTCATTAATTTTTGAATATATTTAAGCATCAACTATTAGAACAAATAATACATATTAATCAATAACAAATTAAATTTAAGTGACTGTATCGTTCTGTACCTTAATTTCAGGATATATTTTACTACGTTTCATCCTATCTAAAATATAATTGTAGTTGTTTATAAATGAATACCACGGAATAACATCATCTTCATTTTCTAGATATTTTATCAAATTTAAAGGTATGTTGTAATCTAATTGTCCCGCTCTTGCTAAATTAAAGGAATCGTCAATAAGTTGAGCTCTATTTAACACATGTATATCTTTAAAAGATTCATTAAGTTGTTCTATTAATGCTAGCCAATTTTCTTTATCATAATTTACTCTATAGAATCCTATTAAAAAAATAGTTAATTTTTAATAAACACAAGAATTTTAATGAAAAATAAAAATCGTATTTACCAATTGCTTGCAAATTTAATATAACCCACTTCGATTTACTTTCTATAGGTATTACAGTGTCCTCATTTGGGTTCATCCACGCAATTGTACTTAAATTTTCAAAATTTTTGTTTGAGCTTGTTGTTAATGTAATGCCAATAAACCATTTCGTTGAATCATTTTTATTTTGCGAATGTATTGAAAACCGTTGCTAAAAATAAAAAAAACGTATAAATGACTGATACGTTATTTTAAAAACTATCGAGGAAAAGAAATATATTTTATTTACTTGTGACAATTTTATTTGTTCATCATCCTTTTCAACATTTACAACAGGATAGCCAGCGTGTTTGGTCCAAATATCCATTATATTATTAACTGTTTGGCCTCCCAAAAGTCTCTTATTTTGTATAAAAAGAGCATTTTCAAATGCATCCCATAAATTATTTGGTCTTACTGTTCCATATCTTCAGGAAACTTTTTTAAGTTATAAAAAAACTTTTTATAGATACAACACACTTACCTATGTTTAGTTAAATAAAGCTTCAACGCTTCTTTGAAAACACTTTCACCTACGAGGTAATACAACATCCGGAGAATTGAACCTCCTTTATTGTTTGTTATTCCATCAAAATTATTATAAATTTCACTGGGTGTAAGTACTGAAACAGACAAAGGGTGATTTGGAGTCTGGTCAAGTCCTAATGCACTTTGATGTTTTTCTATTAAAAAAAAATCTAATAATCGCCATTCAGGTTCTACCTAAAAATATTTTTACAAAGTTTAAAATTTCCAAAATATATATACAAATAAAGCATTTTTTTTTATTCAAAATTTGACTATATGTAAATGATTTTTATTTGTTTGTATTTTTTTTATTACTATTTAAGATTGGTGAATGAAAAACATTTAAAACTCGACGTAACTCACTACTGCGTTTACCGCATTTAAAAATTGAAAGACTATAAAGAGGATCCTATTTTTTCTAAAGGTCTTCATTGAGAAAGACAATTAAGCCTGAGCCAAGTATAAAAAAGTACTAAGAATAAAGAATTATAAATTACTGTAGCCGTTGCAAAATATTCGAAAAATGTAGCAAATCCTTCATTTAGCCACGTGTAATCCCACCAGTCACACGTAACTAAATCGCCAAACCACTGATGTGCTATTTCATGTTGAATAGTTGTTGTAAGTGCCCCTTTAATCGAAGTTTTGGCATTGTCTGGTATTAAAAGTAACCTTTCTCTGTGGAAAAATATGTGATTACTATAGTATTTCTTAATCAATTGAAATAATTTATAAAACCAATACCGAAAAGTATTCATTCCCCAGTTTTCCATAGCCTTAAATCCAAGATCAGGTAGAGATACTAAATCTAACTTTGGCAAATCGTATGGAATTCCAGTAAACTTTTCCATTGCTTTGATAAGTTTTGGAGCTTTTTTTATAACATAATTAGTTTGTTTCAAATAGTCAAGAGGGGTGTAAACTTGTACTTTAGTACTAGTATTTAAATTGTGATAATCTCCAACAAAAAATGCTACCAAGTATGTTGGTATTGGTGGTGTCTGTTGAAAATGTATCCATGAAATATTTTGTGTCGAAATGTAGTGATCTAAATAGTTATTGCTTTAAATAATAATGGAAAAAAATTAACAAATAATTTTAATAAAATGTTTTGAGTAAATAATAAACTTACTTTGTTGTATGTGATATTGGCATGTTCGATAATGCTAACTGATTATTAAATACTCCAATGGTTATATTAAATGGAACTTTATAGGATGGCTCATCATAACAAGGAAATGCATTTCTTGCAAATGTTGGTTCGAAATGAGTGACAGCTAGAGTTCTTTTAACGAATTAAAATAGAATTAATTTTCTAATGTATGATTTCTGTTAATATTAGATTTTCAATACTATTATAATTAAACAAAGCAAAGCTTCATTTTGTCGACTCAATGATAAAAAAAAAACCTTATAATCGATTTGTTTTTTATTAATTCAGTCACTAAAAATGAATCAATTAATTATAAGGTTTATATATTTTTTCTAATTCATTAATAAAAATAATAAAATTTTTAAGACTTAATTTTTTTAATATTCTTAGTAATAAAAATTAATATTTATATAATCTAATTAAATTTATTTCAATATTTATTAATATCATTCTATTATATTCTTAAATATCAATCTTATGTTATATTTACATTTAGGAGATAAAATAATAAATTAGTTGCTAAAAAGTAATAATACTTACTTCATCACGCCTTTGTCATAATATATGCTTTTATAAAATCCACTCATGTCACTTCTAAGTAAGCCATTAAATTTAATAGAAATTGAATATTCTCGATTTGCTATTAAAGGATAATCTAAGTGAATCTTAACTTGTTCATGATCTGTTAAATATATCAAATTCTTGACTGGAACATTTTTTTGGGTTGCAACATCAGTGATATTTGAGGATTCAAGTGTTAGATTTTTTGAACTTAAAAACACTATTGATGTAGTATTTTGTGTTTGGATATTTATTTTTACCAATCCAATAAAATAAGCATTATTTGTTTCGAGATTAGGTAGTATACTAAGGCAATAAGATTTTGGGATTGTATCTTTCGGTAAAAATGAGCAAATCCCATTTAAAAATTGTGATATTACTATAATTAATATAAATCCTAACAACATGATTAAGCATTAAAATATGGTATAACTGACAGTTTCTCAATAAAAACTGTGCGCAATATTTTATGAGTACAAATGAGATTGTCTCTTATATCTTATCATAGTTTTATTGATAATGATACAATTTATTTTATTTACGAAACACTTAAATATAAAATAGAAGTAATGTTTTGGCTCGATACACTTTTAATTTGTTTAATTGATTTTTCTATTTTATCAACTTAGTTCTTGAATCTAAATTCATTGTGTACCATTAATGTTTATAAATAAAAAAAATATCTAGAAGGCAATGAAAAATTACTTCTTTTAATTATTGTCCTCATATACATCAGAACAAATGAAATTACCCAGATCAATTGTAACTAAGTAAATATCTGTTAATGAAAGATGATTAATAATTCTGAATAAAAGGCTTTTATATAAAATTAACTTCTTCGAAATCTCATTATAGTAAAAAAACATAAATATAAAACAAAAATTGAAATAATAAATAGAAAAAGTGATTTTTACTTGAAAATTCATGTCAAAAAAATAATAGTAAAATAAAATGTGGATTTCACAAAAACAAAAATTCTCTACAAAATAATTTTATTATGATTAATTAAAAAATTAGCTACAAAATGTTCAGTATTAATTTACCGTAATCCATTTAACAAAATTAACATTTTTAATATTCTATTTCATTATATTACAGACTTTTTCCATTAAATTTTAATATTAAATTAGAGATATATTAATCAGTCCTTGAAATAAAAACCAAAAGAAAAAAGTAATCCCTAAATGAGGGTAAACTTCTTCCGGTTGTTTTAAAATACATACATTTAAATACATTACATACATTTAAAATACAAATTTAAAATTGAAATGTTCCCAATTTATATTATTGATTCTTTTATTCCAACAAAAAATTATGCAAAATTAGTAAATTTTACATTTAATTATTTATTTTTTGTGAAATATAAATAAAATACATATTATTCTGAATTATTTTAATTCATCTTTATTTGTGGTTCAATAAAATTGAGATTAATAGTACATAGCTAATAATAATTATATTTTTTTGGAAATATAAGCTTGTTGAAGAACTTGAATCATAATCATAGTCTTCGGGTTCTGTCGTTGGTGGTAAAGGATCAGTTGGAACACCTAACCAGTGGTTAACAGACTCATGATAAGTGTGAAACCAATGAAGGTTATACTCTGTTATGCGATATGATTTCTCAAATGATGATTTAATCGATTTTGATAAAATATCTACTGATTTTAATTGGTATAGCTATAATAAAAATTGATTCGCATTTATTAAAAATTATCAGTTACAAAAAAAAAAATCTTTACCTTCTGTATTTCGCTATCCAAGGTAACTTTTGATGCTAAAGTACCATAGATATATTTTACAATTTTATCACCAGTAGAAATTTTTCTTAATAGTATATCTAAATTGTTCATTAGGAAATCAGTTAGTACTTTTATGCCTATAGGTGTTGATGCCATTTTTGAGTATATTGAGTAATAATCTTGCAATCGAATGGGACTATTTTCATTTTCGTAAATAAAGTATAAAGTCCTTAGGGATCATTAATAATATTTAAAACCATTTTGTTTTTAGATATTGTAATATGTAAGTAAGTAAATATTTATACTTATTTAGTAATTCTGGAACAAGAGTGCATGTGAGTGCTGTTTGAGCAGAATCTTTTTCTGATATAGATTTTGTTTTTACATAAAGATTTAACATTCTTTCCCAAGTTCTTGAAGTTTTATCATGCATGACAGCCATACAAAATGTCACATCTTTAATATCAGCAGGTATTCTAAAAAAGAAAAAAGTAAAGGATTATTAAATATTTAAAAATTATATGTTTATATTGATTTTGAATGTGTTAAAGCTTTTTTATATTGTCGTATTGCTTGTAATGTTTACGAATGTATCTATGTTTTCAGTAATAAGCTATTATTTTACTGTCAACTTAGCTTGTTTACGATATGTTTTTATATTAGTTGATAACTGATAACATCGATTTTGATTATTTGTTATTGTTGTTATTGTTAACTATCAGTTTGTTGTTTACGGCATTCTTTGCATTTAACTCTTCCTTTTCTATACTGGAAACTTTCTGTTATGTTAATTCTAGTTTTTTCACATATTAAGTTATTTTTTTAGCTCTTCATCATTGTGTATGTGTTCTTTTTGCCGCTTTCTTAAGTGTCTTGGTTATGTTTTTGATTGTAAGTGAATTATTTTGTAGCGCTTGACGTAAATTTATGCCTAACATTACCAAAGGAAAAAAGGTAGAAAAGGAAGAACTTAACGCCAAAAGTGCCGTAAACAACAACAAAAACCGTATGTAAACAAAAAACTGACAGTTGTCAACAAAAACACGACAAATACAACAAAAGATAAACAATATCGACGTTATCAATTATCAGCTGATATTAAAATATACTGTAAACACGAGTCTGTAACTATCATTCTAAAAATAGACTCTGCAACGAGTCCGAAAACGTATATACATCCGTAAATATTTCAAGTAAATATATTGATTTTGATATAATTACGTTATTCCCGCTTTCCATTTATCAAAGTAAGATAATGCGCGATTAATACACTTTTTACTATTTAAAGAACAGGCCCATGATGAAAATACGTTCCAACTAGACAATGATTGATAATCCTTAGTTTTGTTCGTTAGAATAGTACTTTCAGCTTTAATATAAATAATTTCTGCCAAATTTCTGATGTAATTCTTTAAATAAACATGAATAAAAGTTTACAAGCAAAACATAAATACTATTGAAAGTGTAATTTTATTTTAAATTAGCGTTTATACGCTTAATTAATTAATCATTATAGATCATTAAATAACTAAAATTAAATAAATCAGATTATTTATCACCTCTATGTAATTATAACCATTTAAACTACGACGCATTCTATCTATTAGATAAGAAAAACTATTTTTTGCTGTATACCAAGGTATGGTGTCATTTTCGTATTCTAAATATTTTGAAAGTTCAAAAGGTATCGAGTAGTTCAATAATCCTGCTTTAGCTAAATTAAAAGAATCATCTATGAGTTGTGCTCGATTAAGAACGTGGATTTCTTCACATGCATTATTCAGTTGATTAATTAATGCAAACCAGTTATCCTTTTCATAGTTGACTCTATAAAATCCTAATCATAAAAATAAACAATAATGAAGAGCAAATAATTATTTGATTAAAAATACCAGTCGATTGCAAATTGAAAATAAACCAATCAAATTCATCTTCAATTGGTATAGTTACAGTTTCATCAGTTATTCTCATCCATTTTGCTGGTGTTAAATTACCAAATTGTTTATATTTTTGATGCGTGTATGTAAGGCCTACAAACCATTTCTGTTTCTTGTCATTATTTGATGGAATAATAGAAAATGTTTCCTATAAAATTTTATATAACATTTATTAAATAATATAACTTACCAGAAGAATTTTAGAATACTACATACTTGAGTAATTATAAAAGAATCGTTATGTTTTTTAATATTTATTACAGGATATCCTGGTTGATCCGTCCAAGACATCATAAAAAATGAAAAAGACATGTCACCATTAACTTCATAGTCCTTCTCGAAGTAATAGTTTTCAAATACTGCCCATAAATGATTTGAAGTTGCTGAGCTATAACTGTAAATAAATTACCTATATTAAAAGTTAGATTTATAAAAACTATATTTAGATAATATTTTTAAAGCTACTATGATGTAAAGTAATAAATAAAATAAAGACCTTACTTAAAATGTTTTAAAAACTGTACTAAAGGCTTTTGAAAATAATTATCTCCCACAATACTCCTCAACATTCTTAAAATGGCTGCAGCTTTGTTGAATATTATTTGATCAAAAATATCTTCAATTTCTTCTGTACCTTGTACAGACCAATTTACTGGATGCGTTGGTATTTGATCTGAAGCTAGTGCAGTTTGATGTTGTTCAATAATGAACAATTCATCGAGACGCCACTCGGGTTTTACCTAAGAATCCAATATGAAATTCATTATACATAGTTTTGCATTTTACTAAATTTGTTAAACTTGCTGTTGCAGTGGCGAAGTACTGAAAATATATGGCAAATCCTTTTTTCAACCAAAGATTATCCCACCATGAACAAGTTACTAAATTACCGAACCATTGCTGGGCTAGTTCATGTTGGAGAGTTTTAGTAACTTTAATTTTATCCATGGCAGTAGATTGTTTATTAATAAATAAATAGCTTTCCCTTAAAAAAAAAAGTTTTATTAAATTATCAGTTAAGCTTTTAATTTTGTACCTGTAGCCACTCAATCCCCAATTCTCAGATCCAGCGCTATTAAAATCAGGAAAAGCAATTAATTCTACTTTTGTGAACTGGTAAGGTATTTCAGTGAAGTTAACCATTGTTTCAATTAATAATGGAATTTCTTCAAAGACATATTCTACATCTGAACCAAAACCTTTTCTTGTGTAAATTGATATTGAAGGATTCAACGGTAAATTTTTAGATAGATTAAAATTACCGACATAAAATGAAACCATGTAAGTTGATATAGGTGGAGTTATTTCATAAATATCCAATTCAAAATCAAAATATTCACTATAAACATAATATATAATAGGTAACAAATATAAATTCTTAAGAATTAGGTTTTATGTATAATAAACTCAATTTTAAATAGAAAAAGTATACTCGAAGCGTTGGAATTTTATTAAAGAGATATTTTATTAAAATACCTAGCAATAGTGGAATTGATATTCATATTAGATAAGGTTTTTTGATTTTTATGACGCCCAACAGAAATTTGGAAAGGTGTTCTATAGGCAGGCTCATCGTAGCATGGAAATGTTCTTCTAGCATAAGTTGGCTCGAAGTTAGTTGAAGCAATCCATCTAAGAAATCATATAAGTGTTATAAATACTTAATACTTTGGCATATAAAACAATAAAAAACCTACTGTGTAGAACCATTTGTTTTATATGAACTTCTAAATAATCCAGTCATATCTTCTCTTATAAAGCCATGAAATGGAATTTTCACATGATATTTACGACCGATAATTAATGGTGTTTCTGTATATATTTTAAGCATTTCATAATCTTCAAATTGTTGGCCAATAACTTTGATTGATTTTTGAGTCTCATGTTCCACGATTTTTATTTCTCCTACTTCAAAATCCACAGCATTTAATGTTATTACCTGAGTTATTTTCCTTACCAAAATAATAATATCTTCATTGCCCAAATATGGAAAATTAGTTTGCTGTAGATCTGGTATAATTTGAATAGCATAAAATAGCGGGAATGTATCATCAGGCAATCGATAAAGTTCATGTTGATCTAACTCGCACTTTCCTTGGAATATAGTTCCAAGAAACAGTATTATTATTATTAACTTGAACATATTACAACGCTCACACAAATCTTACTAAACTACTAAATATCTTAAAAAAATAAATAATTCATTTTTTATTGATACGTGAATTTTACGTGTGAGTGGATTAATAATAAGTGGGATCTTATCTCTCTTATCCATTTCAATTATTTGAATTAAAAAGATAATATGGCTTTCAATGAAATGTTTTATTTAAATTTCTTTATTAGAATTTTCAAAAACATTATATTGAGTCCTTAAATGATGAATATTGTACAATTTTTGTTAGTATTTTAAAATTAATTGAGTTAATCTTTTGTTTTTTTTACCACGAACAAATAATACATTATTTTTTATTTAAGTTATTCTGTAAAACTATCATAAATATTTTCAATCTTTTAACTTCTTATTTTTCCTTTTTTCATGACGATATTTATTTAAATGATTTTAGTATTTATTGGTATATAAGGAGAGGGCATGACCCGTATCTTCCATATTATGCATAACATAAATTGTACATAAATGGAGAAGAATATTAAGAAATATATTTTTTACAATAAAAATTTAAAGATTTTATCAATAAACGATTTCCTCAAATTTATTAAATCACTTTTAACGCTGTTTAGTTTAATTATTTGTTTCTTTTTTTTATATTACAAATTTGCTTATATTTTTTCTATTTAATATTTAATATATTAACTAAATACTAGTGTGAAGGATCATCACATAATCATTGAATACAGTAAATATTGTTAAGAGTATACTCAATTAACTTAGTTTTGTTTTTTAAAGCATGCTAAAACAGTTTGTGTTGAGTATCTTTCTGAAAAATTTATTGTGCTTGAGTACAATTCAAAAGATTATCTCAAGTTTTTTTAGAACTATTTTTTATTCCAACACAAATAGCAGCATCTTTAATATCTGCAGGTATTCTAAAATTATTATAAATTAATAAAATGATTATGTACACGTTAACCAGTATTCTTTGAGAATTGGACAATACTTTTCATGGTTTTTCCATTTTTTGAAATAGTCAATAGTCGAAATCGTATAATTTAATATTCTAGAAGGCATTCTCATTTTGAGAACACATTGTAACTACACTTAAATTAAAATTATGCATTTTTATTTAAGACTAATATTTCTTGTTTTTGATACATTATACTAAATAACTTTCTCTTGTAAGACTGAATAATAATTTAGTTAAGCGACACATCAAATAATTAAAAAGCACTGAAAATTTTAATTTTCTTACGAGAGCTAAGTTGAAAAAATCATCGGTTAATTGTGCTCTATTTAATATATGTACAACTGTTTCATTAAAGCAATCCAATTTTCGTTGTCATATCTGAATCGATAAAAACTTGCAAATAAAATTAATTTGCTTTAATGATGTCAATGTTATGTAAAAATATTAAAAAATAAATTGGATGATTGAATATTAAATATGTGCCACCCTGATATTTTTGGACAAGGTACAATGATGTTTTTCAACTAAGCAATCGTGATAAATAACTGAAATTATTATTGTTTTCGTAAATGTTAGGCTAATAAACCATTTAAAAATATCTTTGTTTTCGTTATTTACAATTGAGTTTAATAAAAAAATATCCACGTAGGATAGTTATCTAATTAGTTAGAATTTGTTTTATTATTAAGTTGATTTTTTTGGTTATTTTTTTTGGGTACTTATATTTTATAAAAATTTACCTGTAATAGCATGATGGAATCGTTTTTTTTATTACATTCAAAACGTTTTGTCCATGATTTTCTAAATTCGCTCACAGTTACATTATTTCCTAAATTCTATTTTACTTTAAATAAAATACTTTATCTAATGTATATTACTTAATTTTTTGTTGGTACATTTAAACACTTTTCAATTAACAAAAACCGTATTATTAATGTGTTTGCGCGTGAAGATTTTATAAATAAAACTGATCACATTTAGAATGATATACAAAGACTTTTAAATAGCTTAAAAGAGTATACATATATTTCATTAAAAATACTTAAAAATGATCTGCTAGCTATACTTTATTTTTCTGCTGGAGCAATGGAGTATTGGAGTATAAATACTGTCAGGTCAATAGAAAATGTATTAAATTATAAGTTTTAAATTGTTATTTGAAATTTAAAAGATTTTATTATTACAACGTCTAAGATGTTAATTACTAAAAAAATTAATACTTTGTAGGGTGCTCCTTATTTTTCAAACTCAATTGTTTTATGACGGTACCCTTTAGATTAGTTCAGTTGTATAAAAAAGTAATGAAAGATTTTACTCAACTCCATCTGGTGCCGCATTGAGGTTAAAATAAGACAATTAAAGGTAGTTTTTTTTTAATACTTAATGTTAAATTATTAAGAAACTTAATTATAGAACTTATTATTGCCTATAAAAAAGGCATTGACAAAATTTTTCATACATCAATTATTCTTTTATAAAAATAATAAATTTCATAAAAGGTTGACATAATACTTTTATACAATTTTTTTTATAAAATTAGTATTTTTTAAATATCATATCACGTATAAATTATTTAAAAAGTCAGCTATTTAATTAATGACTTAAATTAAATAAAAAAAACTTGTATTATATACTATAAAAACATAATTATTTTAAAAAACGCACAACACAATGTCTACTTAAGATCAGCATTTGACTGAAAGTTAATAACAAATTTATTGAAGACGAAGAAAAAAACAGCTTTTATTGCAGGTAAGTAATTTAATAATTTTAATTTTTATCTAAATCGATTTCTAAATTTTTAGTATTTCTCTTTCACTGTGGATATTTCTTTGGGTAAACAAGTACAGTCTAAACATTTAAATAAATTTATTGAATTTAGATCAAAATGAAAATTATAAAATTATTAACGTACAATAAAACTATTTTTGTTCTTTATCTTTATTTATTACATTGCTCTATTAACTTGACCCTCTCTCAGCAGAGAGTTACTAAATCCTCTTGAGAGGAGTCAAATGCTGATTTTAAGTAGATATTGTGTTGTGCGAGTTTTAAAATAATTATGATTTTATAGTATTTATTACAAGTATTTTTTTTATTTTATTATAGTCAATAATTAAATATTAAAAATGATTTAATAACAAGTAGTAGTCCAATCAAAATTAAATATTTAAATTAAAAATTATTATTGCGTTAATAAAACTAAATATAACCAAATATTTAAATTAAGTTTTCATACTTTGCTGAATTTTTTTCCTGATAAAATTTCTTATATAACCCTAATATATCATTCCTAAGTTTTCAGAAAATGAAACCCTTAAGTAATACTTTTGCTTATTGACTAAATCTTCGGTAAATTTTACTATCAATCATTCATTTTTAGGTACTACCGTGACATTAGTTTTAACAATTTTTCGATCAAACATTGTTTCATGTACAGTGACATTTTTAATTATAAAGTCTTTAGAATTCATCATAATTATTTCGTGATTTTACATGTATGTACAACAATTGTAATAGCACATTCGAAAAAGAAATATTCACGTGATGAATTTTTATTTGGAACAATTTATAATAAAAGTTATAAGATACTGTTTGAGTATCGACTTCCGTTTTATCAATGAGGTTTTGTTTAAATCCATAACTTACAACACAAAGAACTATCAAAATAAATATATTTAACCTCATTTTCATCATTATTTAGCAAATTTTTAAACTTAATTATTTAAAATTCAACAATGATAAACTAGCCTAGTGTCCTGTATTTTAATTTAATCTTATCTTTGAGTAGAAATTATTAATATGTTATTCGAGTAGATGCATAAAATTTTACACATTTATAATGTCTATAAGACAAATAATTATTTTGAGAGAATAATGGAATGAAAAAAATAAAAAATATTCTTCTACTATCAAAACTAGAAGTTTTGCGTTATTGTTATGAAACATCAACTGCTTTTGAGATAATAACTAATTATAACTTTTTATTGATAAGGAAAAGTTTTTTAAAGCATAACTTCATTTTATGAAGAAATATATCAATTTCATAAAACTCCAATCGTTAAAAATTATAATATAACTTGAAAACAATTTTTACAAAAGAGGTGAAATAAAGTTATCAATTTAAGGTACTTAACGTCAAATTAATTTTTTTAAAGACTATTTTTTGGAACTATTACACCTAAATTAATAAAACTTATCTGGCTTAAAATGTAGTATTTAATATTCATGTTCGTTCAAAAATGAAAAATATTTGAGTCATCAGTATCTTAATGATTGGCGAGCATAGTAACACAACTTAATATTTGTTTATTATGAATTTATTGCAATAACAATATTTTCAGTATAATATTTATTTTAAATATATTAATATATGACATCAAAAGCATTAGAGATTTTTACAAAACATATTACCTTTTTAAATACATAATTTTCAATAACGTGTAACGGGAAAGGCATCTAAAGTTTTTTTGAAATTAACCATGTAATCTTCCAAATTGCGAATTGTTTATATTAAAATTATTTATAGAAAACAAATTTAGTAGATGTGAAAAAATATATTTTTTTTAACTTGAAATAAGCTTCAAAAATTTCCCATAAATATATTCCTTGTAGTAATATACATTAGAGGCTCAATCAAAATAACGTCGATGACTTCTATATGAAGCAATAAAATTCTATTTCCTAGTAACAAATTGACTTTTAACTAAATATTCTGTAATTAAAATGATGCCAAAATACTAGAATTTAGGTTTGCTAATAATGACATTTTACTAAAAATAAAATAATTATGTCATCTTAATATTACTTTTGTTTAAACTATTCAATCACATTGAGCAACCGATTAACAATTAAATTTTTGTATTGATATTTTTATTTTTTAGCCACTTCAAATTATCATCTACAAATTTTTAAATAAATTATACATACGTGCAATAAAATAATTTTTTTACATTATTATTTAATATTATTAAATATTATACAAAATATACTTAAATTATAAATAATTTTAATTCACTTTCTCTTTATTAAACTGATTTACAGTTTTATTGAATTGTACAATTATCCACTTAATCGAAAGTTTTTTTAATTAGTTGTATATTTTTATCATCCATGATAAAATAGCCATGATCAATACGAGCGCGCAAACTTGAGAATTTTTAACAGAACTTGATGGTGTTGGTGTTGTATTATCATCAATTTTCCGATGTTCTTCGTTGTATTTCTCAACCCAATTACTAACTAGTTCATAATTGTTATTAAACCAGATCATATTATCGTCTATCTGATTATACAACTTATCCAATGTTTTTTTAATATTTGATGGTAAATCATTATTATTTCTAAGATCATTCACCTAAAAATTAAATGGTACAGTAAAATTTATTTGTTTTCTATAAGTTATAAAAAAATATTTACTTTAGCAATTTCTTTATCGCTTGACACTTTTGATACTAATATAGAATAAATTGAAGTTATTATTTCTTCTCCGTAACTTAAATCGTATAATAATTTTTTCATATTATTAGTTAGGAAATCAATCATAGCTGTAATCCCTTGCTGTGTTGATCCCAGTGATCTATAGATGAATATGAAGTCTTGTTGACGAATAGGTCCATTTTCACCCTCTAAAATAAAACCTAAATATCTAAACAAATAAAAAGCTTATATAAAATTATTATGGGTTAAAATAATTTCTTTAATTTACTTACTTCGATAATTGCGTAGAATTTTTGGAACAAGCCAATGCCACTTGAGCAGAAGATCTTTCAGATGGATCATCAGACGATTTGTAAATATTTAATAACTTATCCCAAGTATCTGAGTTTCCTTCCTTTACTCCAATACACCAAGATGAGTCTTTTACATCAACCGGAATTCTTAATAATTGTAAAATAATAAAAAATGTTACACTTTTTCTAATGTTCTCATAAAAGCTTATACATACTCTCCTGTTTTGTTCCAGTTATTAAAGTATTTTCTTGCAGATTCAACACAATGTTCATTTTCTAAGCGACAAGCCCAACTCGAAAATGTATCCCAACTTGTTTTAATTTTATGATCTGTAGTATGTTTATTTACAATAAGATCTTCAACATAAGTGTATATTTTTCCTGCTAATTGTTTCACGTATATCTGGAAAAATGACCTGATTACAAAATATATGAACTAATTAATTTAAATCGTAAATGTTACCTTTAGATTATTGTAACCAGACTCGTCTCTTCTTAATCGTTCCAACAAAAAGTCAAATTCCTCCATAGCGGAATACCATGGCAACATATCTTTTTCATTATCTAAATAAGTAGATAATTCTAATGGTATGATATAATGTATCAAACCAGCTTTTGCTAAGTTTAGTGCATCATCTATTAGTTGAGCACGATTAATTACATTGATGACTGTATGATTTTCATTTAACTGTTTTATCAAGGCATACCAGTTAGCATTATCATAATTGACTCGATAAAATCCTAAAAATAAATTAAAAAAATAGAAAACGGCATAGTCTATCTTTTAAGAATATAAAAGTCTATTTTATTACAAAATCAATTAGAGGAATTTGATTTGTTTTTTACATATGGTCGACTATATCACTATAAACTCATTATTTTTATATGTTTTTTTGTTTATTCAATGCAAGTAATTTTTAGTGCAAATGTCCTAAAATACTTAAGTCAATAAAAATTACAATTCACAACTATATTTTAAATGAAAAAAATTATTAAACTAAAGACATATTTTTGGTCTTGACAACATTATAGTTTCATCGTATATTAGGTTTTAAATTGTACACCCAAATTTTAAATATTTAAGACAGTGATAATTTGGACTTTTTTTATGTAATGAAATAATATTATAAGTGAATATTTATATATAATAATAATAAAGCTCAACACTAAAATCTATCGAACTTTTAACAAATATAAAAGTAATAATATTGAAAAAAAATTGTAATGTGATTTATTTTGTTCCGGATAATTAAAAACTATTATCTGTCCTCTTGTTAAATTTAGGTATTCAGACTAACAACTTTATTCTTATTAATTATCAATATAGAATAAATTTTAAAAATTACCTGAAGCTTTCAGATTGAATATATACCATCCACCATCATTTGTTCCTGTTATAGCTAATTTCGTGTCATTAGGTTTAAGCCATTTTATATCATTATTGTTAAAATCTAATTCTTTTTTAGTTGTATATGTTAATCCAACAATCCATTTAGTATCTCTATCCGTGTAAAGAGTATCATTTTTATTTGGTGGTGTTATGAAAAATCTTTTCTGAAAATGTTTTAATATACCAAGAGTACTTAAAAATATGATAAATAACTTTGTTTATATAATTATACCTATTAGATGAATAAAATTATAAATATTACATTACTATTATTCTAATCTATAATAATTATATATAGTTTATTATTTTAATAAATAAAGAGTTAAGTTATCTTAGATATTTCAAAATTTATCCTATTTTTTATGATATAATCAACCAAAAATGATAAACTAGGGAGAAATATTTTAAACTGCATATTTTCAATTCAATGAAGAAAATTTCTTATCATAATCAACTTTCCTGTACTTTTCAGAGGAAACTTAATAACTCACTTTACCTGCGTTACAAAGAATGAATCATCAGTTTTATTGACAGTAATTAATGGGTATCCTGACTGATCTATCCAAGAATTAGCAAAATCCTTAAAATTAATTTTTTTTATTATAATTGAATTATTATCTTCTAAAACAATTTCAATTTTGCTCCACAAATTTTCAGGTTTCACTGTTGTATTTCTAAATTAATTAAAAATTTGTATACAATGGTATTCAATTTTCGAATAATTATTTGTACTAACTTATAAGACAGTAAGTATTTATGTAAAGCTTCCCTAAATAATTTTTCAGTAATAATATATTTTATCATTCTGAGAACAGAACCACCTTTTTGATAGGAAATAACATCGAACATATTTTTAATTTCCTCTGGACTCTTAACGAATGCGTTCATAGGGTGCATTGGATTTTGATCAGCTTTGAGAGCTGTTTGATGAACTTCATGAATAAATGTATCTTCTAGTCGCCAATTGGGTTCGACCTAATTAATTTAAAAGATTAAATACAAAAAAAATTAACTTTATTATCATGAGTACCGTTTGTGTAGCAAAATATTCAAAAAAAGTGGCGAATCCTTCGTTTAGCCAAGTATTATCCCACCATTCACAAGTTACTAGATCACCAAACCACTGATGAGCCAATTCATGCTGCACCACAGTTGTAACTAATTCTTTACTTTTTGTTTTTGATTTATCTGTTACTAATAAAAGTCTTTCCCTGAAAACCATATAAAATACAGTGAGATCAACTTATGAAATATACACACAGAATGATTTATTTACTAAGAATCACTTAATTTATCGAAAAGTAAAAATCAAAGGGTGTCAGTTTTATCTTTTCAAATGGCAATACATATAAATAATTAGTCTATTTAATATATAATGATCTAATTAAGAAAATAACTGGTCGATAGTAACTTTTGGACCAGTATTTCGGAAGTTATTGACATTTTTATTCCTAGACGACAAGAATGTAAGGCCGAAAAATGATTAGTGATTAAAATAACAACCGCATCTCACCTTATGCCTACCAGTTCAAAAGTTGTCATTGACTAATTATTTATAGACCATTATCTATTTTAATAGATAATTAATAGTTTATTTAAAAATAAACTAATTAATTATGAATATTTCCATTTGAAAAAATTAAGTTGACACCTTTATAAGGTATAAGGGATAAACATAAAAATTATTTTGTGATTGATAAATTGAAAAAAACGTGTACCTAAAAGGAACCAAAAGGCAAAAATTTCTCAATACCATTTTGAGTTATTGATTATTAAGGGGTTCATGATGAATATACTCATTAAAAAAAACCCCAAAAATGTAGCTACCCCTTTAGCAAATTGTTCTTAATTTATTTTGCTAATATGATTAATTCAATAGAATTATTCAGGGAACATAGTAAGCTACATAATTATTGAATTTGACTTGCAAATACGTATTTGTCTAAAATAATTTTTTTGACACATTATAAGTTATTAAATTCAATTTCTGTAAGGTTTTAATTTAACAAATTTTTACTGGCATAGTATAATATATATATATAATTACCTATAAGTATTTAATCCCCAATTTTCCATGGCACCAGCTTCAAAATCAGGTATAGCTAATAGATCTATTTTTTTTAAAGCATAATCTACTCCTGTGTAAATTTCCATTGCTTTTAGTAAACTCGCTGCTTTATGTACTATATATGTTGTTTGGTTTAAATAATCTGGATGTGTGTACACATTTATATTTTGACCTGCACTACGACCTTCAAATTCACCAACGAACATTGCTAATAAATATGGTGACATGAGGGGCGTTTGTTCAAAATGATCAGTAAACATTCCTTTCCTACAAATCAAAAAGTTTTTTTTAAATAATAATAAACTTTTTCTACATACTTAAATAGTATAAACATTTTTATTTTAATGCATAAAAAAAATACTAAAATATTATTATAAAAATACTTAATTTTTTAACTTACTCATCTTTTGTTCTTTCATTTATTGGAGTATTGGATAAAGCTATTTGATCTACTTTTCGTTTTATCGATACTTTAAATTTAGCTTTCATTGCTGGCTCGTCGAAACATGGAAATGCGCGTCTAGCATAAGTAGGCTCGAATTGAGTCACCGCTATCCATCTATGTAAAATTGTTTTTCACTAAATATTCATCATTAAAATTAAATTTAATATAAATTTTCTATTTTCCTTGAAAAATATAAAATGACTGTGATAATTTGAAACTAATCAGTTTAAAAACTATGCATATAGAACTTGAAAAAGTAATAATTTAATAACATCTAATATTTTTATGAAGGTGTGCATAGTTAAATATAACTTTTGGTATGTATTAGCCATTTGATGAAAAAATAAATGCACTTGGAATATACCATAAAGGACACAAAACGTTACTACTATCACATTCTATCTATTCTACTCAAATATATAATTTATTATAATACATTATTTACTTGAGTATAATATCTATAGATATCCATTAATATTAATAAAAGTATATTATTTGCATTAATTATATTACGAATATAGACACAGTGAATTTAAAATAACAGCGCGCTCTAATTATGCGTATGATCAGAACATGTGGAAAATTAGTGTTATTTTATAAAAAATATCTCAAAAATAAGCTATCTTATTAAAAAATATGTACATGAGCAACAGTATCATCATAAAATACGGTAAAGTAATTAAAATTGAATTTTTATCATGTTTGTTTTTTTATTCTGAACAAAAACTTTTATATGCAAAAATTTAAATAAACTCTTTTAGAATTATTTTAACTTTTAGAAAATATTTGTATAGTAGATGTGTAATTCGATCACACCACTTACGCAACATTTGTCTATTACGAACTTCTCTATTTCAATAATGCACAATGTCTATAGTTTGTAATATGATTTATATTAATTGAAAATGACAATGTTGAAGATAAAAAAAATGTTTACCGAAAATTAAAATTTTGATATTATGTATATCATGATAAGTAACAGTTCTCCTAATTAAGTTTATTTGATTTTAAAGATTTTCGAAAATAATTTTCTATGAAAATTTCTAATTTAATATCCTAATTCGAATAAATTGAGAAATCTTGAATAAAATTTTACGATATCTATTACGTTTTTCTGTTAACAATCACGAATTTTTATTTCACTTACTTTTTTTTGCCATCTTGCAAGTACGAACTTTTATAGAAACCAGTCATATCATTTCTTAGCGGTCCGGTGTAATTTATCATTATACTATGTTCTACATTTGCATGAAAATCAAGTCCGTGGTCTTTAGAAATAATCAATTGTTCATCTCGAGGCACATATTGATATTTAATGTCTTGAACTGAGTTCGCATTTATTGAACTTACTGAGATATTTGTTATGTTTAAATCTTTGGCATTTAATTTAATTTGTTTAACATCATCCTTAATGTTAACAATTATATTTACAGAACCTCTAAATGTGAAATCTTCAAAGTTAGGTTCAATATTCAGTACATACGATTTTGGCAAAACATTTGTTGGTAGCCGAAACTCGACCATTTCCTCTTTGTTTAAAGGTGATTCATAGTTGTATTCATAAAGACCTATCCCATTGCCACTATTAAACAACTGTCCTTGGATTAAAATATCCTGAGACACAATTAAAGTAACGAAAAAGCACAGAATTCGTGCAAACTTAGCGTGCCCGAACATGGTTAGACATTAGACTGAATCACCTGCACTAAACCCTACTTATTATATACTTATATTTGTTTGTTTAACTTATCTACTTTCATGAACCATGTTCATTTTACTTAGTAAGCTCAAAGATAATGCTCATATACTTAATTGACTGAAGCGTAAACGTTTAAACCTTAAACGAAATATGTATTTTTAAAAATGTTTAAATGTGTCCGAAAATTACCGATTTGTGAATTGATCTGAATTAAGTTTAAAACGATGGTTTTAAGAATGGCTAAGGATGATTTTTTTTTTTGTTAAAAAAAATGGATATAAAAAAAGAGGTACTTAATTTTATTTTAATATCCAATTGAAACGAATAAAGGATGTCTTATCTTATGTACTAAGTAACACTATTTATTTACAGTGAGTATGCAAATATTACGGGGAGACTGTATGACACAATGGTAAGATAACATACTTAAAACACGATAATTTAGTATAGAAAACCCATCCGTGTGTAAAGTATTACCAATAACAATATATACTATAGAGTCATTATAGGTCCATAAGAGTTTAAATAAACCATTATATATCACTGTGTAAAAAGCCGTATGAATTTCAAGAGTTTTGCGTTTAATAATTGGTATTCGAAGTTTCATTTTTCACTATATGATTTTATAGTTCATTTTAAAACCACTACAATTTTTCAGCTATGCAAAGTGATTCATTCAATATGGCCTCATATATTATCTTTAAAAGTATAAAAAAAATTATACATTTTTCTTTTCAAAAACTAATAGTACTATACGCTCTATGATTTTCAAAAAAAAAAAAATATTAGTTCTACATGTTCTCTTAAATCTTTAAAATTGTATCAACTTTTGTTTCATAAATGGAAAGGTATAAACTTAACCAGCTTACAAATAAGAAAATTATTTAACTAACAAGAAAATAACCCGTCGTTAACAAATTTATCTTTAGGTATTTATAAGCCACACTATACCAGCCGCCCTAATATGAAAATTCTAATATTACCTAAAATAATGATAGAAAAGTTGATATGGACCAGCCGATTTTCTAAAATTTTCTCATTATCTTATTTCAAAGCAGGTTTAATATATGCATTTTTATTTAAAAACAAAATTTAATAAAATTTTAAGAGGAAGGATTAGACTTAATTTTCGTTAAAAATCAAAGAACGTAGGATATTATAAACTTTTAAATAAATAATAATTACAAAGTTTTATACTTTTAAAGATATTTCATAAGTCATAGTTAAACAAGCACCCTCTATAAGCTTATAAATCCTGTATGTGTAACATACTGAAAATTAATTTAATTTTAATTTTCGTCCTTGATAAAACCATAAAAAATTATTTAAATTTAATATTACAAACCTACACGTGTATTCTATTGGCAATGATCTATCATTCATCATTACATGACTGTGCTCTCCATTGGGTATCGTAGCACTGTGCCTAGAGTCTACATACTTTTTTTTAAAGACTTTATTTCGCTCAACATCCTTGTACAATTCCTATTTCAAAGAAAAACGAGTCAACTATTAATTTAAGAAAGGAAAAACTTTTTTTATAACATTACATGAACAGATGTTTGTTTATGTTTACGTCTTCTTTTATTATCAAGTTATTTCATGTACCAAAGAGGAAGGGGAAACCTACGTAACCCAACGCAATGGGATAGAACCTACGCACTGAGACACGACGTGATAGCAAATGCGTTCGGTTAGATTATACTTAGCTGTGATTTGTTTTGCTCTGTCACCAACTGTTTGTTCTGTTGTCGTCAAGATCACATACTAGGTGTTAGTTTTTTTCAAATTCATTTTCGATTATTTTAACCGTCTTGCTAAGCACTAATAGCTCATTTGGTTTCTCGAAGTCATATCTGTTATTACTTTTGACCATTTTGTATTTTTTGACTTATTGCATAATTGGTATTTGGAAAAATGCTAGTACATCAACGTCTCCTCATATTAGACACCCGTATACATTATGTATATAATTATATTATATTAGTATATCATATATTTAATTATATATATATATATATTATGTTATATATAATTTTAATACAGAAAATGTATGTATTCATTTAACAGAATGAATTTATATAATACCTTTATATACCATTTTTAGCAATATTATTGTAGTTTACTGTTTACACAGTTAAAGGAATAAGTCAAGTGAATGACATAAATGCATCAGCAATATCTTTTTAGCTTTATATTGTAGCTAACAAAGTATTAAGGAGTACAAAAGTTAACCTATTTTGTTTCCCATAAGTAACCTGAGCAATCTCATCCGTTTGTTCTAACGAATAATAATTAATTTATTGAATCACTGCTCTATCATTCAAATCAACTGGCAAATCTAATACGAAGTCCTATTGAAAAATTGCATGAAATCAATAAGATAAAATATGCATGTGTAGTGTACTCTACACATCATTTATTTGTTTAGATGTCTGCCTCATTATTTTTATGTAGTCTTAAAATACATTTTTTATCCTTAAAACCGTTTGACAGAAAAATGAACTTCTTAAACATGACGGTTTACATGTTCTCAAAACACTATGAAAACCTACACGTATAGATAAGTTCACTCACTTAGCACTTAAAACGCCCAGGTGTTTTGTTTCGAAATCTATCGATGGAATTGAACGTTAAAAAAAAAACACAAAAAAAGAGAGATGGAAAAATGTATAAAAAATGCTTTCGTCCAATAATATGACGTTCCCTGTCAAAGTTCGCCCTCGCCAAAATGATATTTCAAATATTATAAACAAGGCGTACATTATGTATTATTTTTGGACTCGCCTAAACTCTGCTTTCCTTCGTTCTTGCACTTTCCAAATTTTTTCCATGTTTCTATTTCTTTTTCCTGCTATTGTGTGTTCATAGACAACACAGCACACTTCCGGGTTTGGGCGTTACCTTTTTTGTTTGTGCACCTCGATACAATTATTATTTCATTAATATTTCCCATTTTATCGTCAAATATTTTTGTAACGCCTTTGATAATATTGACATGTTTGGCGTTAAACTTATAACTGTTTTTTGTACATAGACTTTACTATGATTTTTTTCTTTAGTTGAAAAATATATGCTTTCAAAAATCCGATTCCAGTTTTAGTGATACAAAAACAAACAGTTTTAATTTTATATACTATAAACAATTAATTTGTAACTTAAAATTACATATTAAGTCTCAATGTAAGATATGGTTCAACAATTCCCATACGTCAGTATTATATTTTTAATATATTCCTTAATTATATACACAAGTAGTGTAATTTTGATATAAATATAATAATTTTATTACCATTTATCAACAATTTTCTTTATGTTGTATGCGTTAAAAATAACCAGTACATGTGTGTATAAATTCAGAATATATTTTTTTAAGAATGTTGATTATCAATCATATGAGAAATATGAAATTAAACAGCCATTTATTTAAAAGTTTAATAATCATAAAAAAAACTTTGACTTTAAAATTGTTTTCAAATTACGTAATATGAGGTCTTTAAATCACTATATCGCTAATTTATAAATGTTTAAAACTCATAATTCGTACTTAGTTTTTATTTTACCGTGAATATTTGTTGTAGGTTATTAAATGATAAAAATACACTACTTTTACTGATTTTACATTATTCAACAAGACTCCACCATTTAAAGTTAAAGCTATATTAAAAAAATTATTAATTTAAAACTAAAAAATATTAAAAATATTTAACTCAAAAACCCACAAAAAGGGAGTTTTTTCTAGTCGAGTGTCAGTATGTGATTAACTTTGTTTTGGTAACATTGTTTTCGAAATACGTATCCGCGATTTTTTAGTAATTTTTTGTGGCTTTTTGAGTTTAACATTTTTTAAATTTTAATTCAATAATATTTTAATACAGTTTTAATTTTTAGTAATATTGGCTACAAGTGATCAATATTTATTTTAAAACTCCAACATTTTAAATTTTTTATTAAACAAACGATTATATTATGCATTACACACTCAATATACTTAAAGTACACTTAAATATTTCATAATATTATAGCTAAATTTCAACTTTGTTTGAAAACCCTGGATTCTCTTTAGAAAGCAATAATAATATCGTATTAAAAAGCTTGTTGCTATAAAATAATAATTAATGGATTAATGTAAAAAATGTTGTCACAAAAGGTCAAAGACGTTCAAGGGCTCAGTCCGATTGGAAAACAGTTTTTTACTTTATGTTACTTAAATAATTTACTGTAAATCGATATATTATTCTGAATTATTTTAGATTAATTTTTCATAAAGTGTTGTATTGATTGTGATTAGAGTAGAAATAATACTGAAACACATTATCAATGTTGGGTAAAACTATTCAGTGCATGCTTATCGACACGTCAGTAATGACAAATGGTATAAATAGCCAAAAAAAAAAAATAAAAATTAAGGTAACAAAAATTTATTTCTTAGATTAAATGTAATACTACTTAGTGTAAAATATTTGGCCTAGAAAAAAATCGCTTGAAAACTTAGTACACTTATAGAGTGAGTAATAGCATAACAACAATTTACTCGATAACAAAAAGAACATGATTACATAAATAAAAAATATATTCATATATTGATAAAAACTAAAGACCTTTTCATTTGTTCGACTTTTTTTTATTTTCTTGATTTTTAAAAATCAAGATAGTATGGTATTTTTTTTTTCTTAATATAATAATATTTCAATATCAAAAGTTGTATAAAGGTGTTACGTAAGTACATATTATTCATTGCGTCTTTTAGATTTTTGCATTACAATGTGGTAGATCACTTTTTTTTATAGGCTAACGTTTTTTAATAGAAGGATTATAATCTTCAAAACTATGCGTTTAAATGCGCAGTTACTTAATAAAATATGTCCACATGATTAAATGGAAGAAAAAAAATTAAATATAACTATATTTCATATAAATGATACTTCTATGGATTACCGTATGAAGAAATCCATTTTTTCCCGAATGGAAAATAGTAATAAATAGTGACTATTTCCTACGCTTGCCTTCTTAAAATAACAATAGCTAAATATAAACACGGTGTATTTTTTTTATAATAGCACTTTGAGTGATTTGCTGTCATTCTTCAAAAACATACAGACAGTAACTGCTTGTTAAATTAATTCTATAAAGTTACACCACGTTTGGCATTT